TTTTATTCATTTTTCAACTTAAGTAGTTTCCTAATTGATAGCACTAGCTTAAATAAAAAGTTAAGAGAAAATATAACAAAGAAAAGAATCAAAAACAGAAGCGAAATTTGTTCAATTCGAGTAAATCTTCCGAATTAATAGATGAATAATATGGTGAAGAATAAAAGTTATCCCCAGGTCAAACTCCTCTTACTTCCGTAATTCTTGTGAACTGAGCAGTGGAGGGTGGAGATTAGCTGCCCTCAACGTGCAATTATCCGGAAAAAAATCATTTGCAATTTATCCTTATTGTTAACATTGACTCGACATGAAAATTCTGAAATAGAGTTCGACTTGACTCGAAAAGTCTCTGGTCTAAAATTTTCAAGATCGACTCGAGCGCAAAATCATGAATTAAAGATCATAAAAGCTCGAAATGAATTTTTTTTAAAATTCAACTCTAATTAAGTCTTAAACTCAAACTCGAACTTGAACCTTAAATACATGAAAATCTTATAATGCATTTTTTTAAAAACACACATAAATAATAAATATTATTAATATTATATTTTCGAACTACTCACGAACTTTTCGAGTCAAGTATCAAGTAGTTTGTTTCGGCTCGTTAGAACTCGAATCGAAATATTTATCAAACTTTGATCGAGTCAATTTCGAGTAACTCAAGATTTATCTCATCTCATTTACAATCCAATTCTTGTGAAAGAATCATTTGCTTGCACAAGCATATTAAGTTGTGTCGATGAATTGCAACATTATCATTAATATAATAATATATAAATGACAAGGAAATAAAAAGTAAACTAAAAAACACTTATGACTTCACAACCAGTGGCACTTACATACATTGCTTTTCATGGCCAACTACGACCGGGCTTAGGGTTAGGAACTCATTTATTTTTGAGATTTTCGAATAATTTAAAATTAAGATTTCTCTAATTTATATACGATTCAATTATTTAAAATTTTTATCAGATATTCGATTCAAATTATTCAAAAAAAAAACCTTTTATATCATATATTTGAAAATTTAAATTTGATCATCGCATAAACTGATCAGATATTTTTACAGTCCCCTATGCACTCCATACACCTTGTTTCCTCGATAGGAGAATTTATAATTCATTTTCATCTTCGTATTTTTCTCTGAGTAAAATATGGGCGTTATTATATTAAAAATCTCAATTAATTATTTTTTGAGAAAAATTCTCATATTAGATTAGTTAGAAAAATAAACCTCAAACAATCAATGTAAGACTATCTCGCGCTCTATAAAACGCGTTTAATGAACCTCGCGTTTTATAGGACGCGAGACCTTTCAACTTTTTCAAATAGAGTCATTTAATATTAGATAAAGACAATAATAAATGCATGAAACACGCGCTAGGTATGACTTTACTTTTTTGCAGAACGCAATGTATCATACGTGAATAGTTTAGAGATTATTTTTCTAATTAATTTGACATGGGATTATTTCTCAAAAAAAAATTATTGGGATTTTTTTAATATAATAATGACTAAAATTTGTAAGTAATCATCAATATATTGATAGGTTTTTTATTTTAGTCATTGAATATTTGTTTTTATAAAAGTATCATGTATATTATTTGTTTTATCTTATTTTATTCACGATCGTTAATTAATTAAACGCAATACTGATATATATATTTTTATTTATTTTTTATTTTCCATTTTATTCCTTTTGATTCCTTTCCTCCCTAAATACACTAATTTATTTTAATTTGTTTTAATTGACTAATTAAGTACTGATATGTATCATCATCTAGCTGATTCAAATAAATTGTTGGTCTCTATATATAGATTATATATTTTCTTTATGTTAGACTATCGTGGAGATGGAGTAGTTGGTATCTACTACATTTATTTATTATTATTAATATTTTGGTTTCTCTCTATAGGTGGTAAATGGGTGATTAATTATTTTCAGTTAGGTCAACTTTGGATCTTCAGGTCAATTCATGTTGAGTTGGGTATAAGTCAAATCAAGTATATATATAATTATTGATATATTTTTGTAATAAAAAAAATCGAGCTTGCGTAAATTAAGTTCGAGTTAATTTCGATTCATATTGCTTTCAGTTCGGGTTGCTTTCGGTTTGGTTAATTCATTCGAGTTTGGTTCGGTTCGAGTTGCTTTCGGTTTGACTAAAATTCAGGCCGGTTTTGGTTCGATTCGGTTTTTTCAGATTTCGAGTCAAATTTGAGTCATCATGTTCGGGTCAATTTCGAGTCTCGAATCGGGTCAAATTTTCCATGTCTATCTCTAAAGAATCCAATAGGGTTTAAGAACCTTAAAGCCATAAAAAAATTCGAGTTAAAGACGATGCAAACTTTAGGGTTTCTTATCCTCGCTTACCAGCTTCAATCAGATGTAAAATTTCACGCGGCGGATCATTGAATCTTCTTTCGCCTTCTTCTTCCTCCAAGACTAGTTTGGCTAGACAATGAGATGTAAAGTGGAGCGATATATAATTTAGTTTAACGGTAGAAAATGATAATATATTTATTAAAATAAAAAGATATTCTCCGCTAACTATTTTATTTATCTAATGATTTTAAAAATATGTACAATTAAAGAAAAATATCAAACAACAACAAACAAAATTTTAAAAACTAAAACAACCATTTCATTTAAAGAGAATAAACTACTAGTATTAATTTTGAAAGAAAAATGAATAGAAAGAAAATCAGTACACACTTAGTTTTCTCCTCTTATTATTGAATTTTAAAATAATTTATTTTTATGTATTATATTAAAATAATTAATTTCTTATCAATTATACGGAATTCTTCAACCTCTAAGGGATATTGGAATACTTTAACGGTGCGTTTAGTTCACGGAATGTAAGATTATCAGTGGAAATGTAAGATTATCAGTGGAAATATAAGATTATCAGTGGGAATGTAAGATTATCAGTGGGAATGTAAGATTACCCGTGAGAATGTAAGATTATTAGGGAATAATATTATTGAGAATGTTGTATTTTGTGTTTAGTTGACTTAGTAGTAATGTAAGATTATCGTGTTTGATTAAAGGAATAAAAGATTATTGAAATGTATATTTGACCAAATTGTCCTTATTATATATATATTTTTTAACAAGTTGAAAAATATTTATATATTTTCTTTAAAAAATTTAAATTTAAAAAATTTATATATTTTTTTACAAAATTTAAAATATAAAAAGGTTTAATGAAAGGGTAAAATTTTATTTTAACCCCTGAACTTTATATAAAATTTTAATTATAGGCTTTTTTTGTAAATATAAAATAGTTTAAGGATAAATTTGTAATTTAACATTTGTAGAATTTTTATTATTCCAAGAATGATATTTTTGAAAACAATATTAAGGGTATTTTAGTCCAAAACGTCGGTAATCCAATAATACCTAAGGAAAGAGAGGTAATGACATTTCCGATAATATACCCCAAAAAATCCACTATTGGTAATCTTACATTACCGGGAATGGGATTCCCGAGCTAACCAAACAGGAGAATGTGAATTTCATTCCCATGAAAATCTCACATTCCCCATCTAAACCCAGGTTAACCAAACGGGGAATATGGATTCCATTCCCATAGGAATCCCACATTCCCCATCTTATCGCCCCCTAATGGGGATGAAAGTTTCATTCATCCATTCCCATTACTTTTTGCTTTTTTTTTTTGATAATTAAGTACTTTTTGTTTCTTATTCAATGCTTTAGATAAAATTTAGAGAAAATTAATGAACGATCCAAAAGAAAATTGATTTGATGTTTAGATTTTTTATTGTAAAAAATCTGGGCACTGGGGAAGATCGTTCTTAAGCTTTGGAAGGATTCGAAATGGCTGGAGAAGAGGCTTCCTCTCCTTCATTTGTGTGAACTTGTCTTTGCATCTTTACAAGTAGTAAAGAATAAGAATATTGTTAAGTCTGGTATTTTTCGACCCACCACCTCTAAGTTCCCTTATCTCAGGCCTCCTACCAAGTGATAAGGTTCTATGTTTTGTAGTCCATATTTGTGACTCTCACTTCATCTATTCTATTCAACAATTTCATATATTTATAAATAAAAATATATATATTTTAATGTTAAAATTATCACGTGTATTGTCTAGTATAGTGTGCCGATGATGGGCTGAGAAAATCTACTAATGTTAAAATGGATGAACATATAATTTTATGTTAGGAGATAAATTAATAAAGTTTAGAGAGGAGGATTGCTCCATCCCTTCAATCAATCCCTTGTTATAATTATCATGTGTATTTTTGTCACAGCCCCTGCAGAGAAGGCCCCATAAAGTCCCAGATGCTTCTGGGAAGGGTATTCAATTATTGAACTATTGCCCCATCCAATAAGACATTGGCATGCAATTTGTTCATTTAAATCTTCTTGTACTCTTTTAGCTTTTTTTCAACATGAATAATTTTCTCCTATTCTACTTGTGATTTTCTAAGGAAGTGTTTTTCCACATTAAATCTTAATATTCTTTATTTTAAGGTTATTTTACTTTCGTTCTTCTCGTGGATACATTATTACATTATTCAGACCCTAGAGTTATTTGAACCAATCCATTCTCTGAAATCGGGAAAATATAGGTCCAAAACTACTCTAAATATGTCAAAGCTTGTATAAGTAGTAATACATTTGTCCCCTTTTTAAGTAATGAAAAAGAAATGTACAATTTCTGCAGATGACATAATTTAGTTGCTTTGGCAACTTCTGAGGTTAATGTTTACAAGGGATCTTCGTTTCACAATAACTTTTCAAATTCGAAATTCATTCTAAGGTTCCATAGTTTTATTCCAGAGCTTGGCTCCAATTCATAGATTATGTCAAAATTTTTGTTTGACGGTCACTATTTACGAAGAAAAGAGTAATATCTGAACAGATTAAGGGCAAAAACATGTCAAATAGGAGAATCAAACGCCAAAACATAAAGTAAAATATATTATACATTGTCATCTGATAATAATTTGCTAAACTTTACACAGGACCTATAATAATACAGCAGAACATAAGCTTGGAAGGTCTCCAAAGGGGCGTTGCTTGGATAAAAAGTACCAGCAAGACCTCTCTTACAACACATTGACACCTAATAATACACTGTAGCAAACTCTACAAATGTCAAAAATTTAATTGTAGAGGCTAGTACAAGAAAAAGATTACACGATAGTAGCTGTAATTTTGTTTTCAAGACTTAAGAGAGTTCACTGATGGCTTCCCAATCAATTTCAACCGAAGGGAACTTTTCCAAACTGAAGTTCTCATCGTCTCCCCACTTCGAATCAGAGAAATCCAAGAAAGTGATACCGGATTCTGATGAAGAAGACCCTGCCAGTGATTCATCGGATAAATCCGGTGAATTCTCGACTTTTAGATGGGGTAACTTTGGAGACAGATCCAACTCCTCGCTCTTCACCTTGGGTTTTGATTCTGGTTTCCCTTGTTTCTCCAGGCTCTCACAGATGGCTTGTAGCTTTGCATCAACCGAGGAATGGAGGGGTTTGAAGCCAGAAAGATGGAGTCCTTGATGCTTGAGGTGGGGGAAATTGAGCCTGGCGAACTCTCCTCGGAGCATATAAGCAGCTTTGTCATAGGCCAAAGCTGCCTCTTCGGCTGTATCGAAAGTGCCGAGCCAGAGTCGGGTTCGGTTCTTGGGGAGTCTGATTTCGGCAACCCATTTCCCCCAGTGCCTCTGCCTCACTCCCCTGTACAGTTTTGCAGGCTTTGGAGGAGTTGAAGACACGTGTTTCATAGGGACAGGTTTTGGGAAAAGAAAGTTGAGCCTCTGGTTTCCAAGGCATGTTTTTGGAACCATAGAATCAACCTGCTGCTGCTGCTGATGATAGATTTGAGCTTGCATTTGAAGGATTTGAGAAGGGTTGAGCTGGTTAAGCCCAATTGAACCTGTTTGCTCAAAACTCACCGGATTGTTATAGCTAAAGAACCCATGATTAGAAAACACGTGGGTACTCGATGGGTTACAAATTCCAGGATCCATTTTAGATAAAGAAGAAGATGGAGAAGAAGCACTTTTCATAAAAGGTTCAAGTGCTTTCATTAACTCTTCACTAAAAGGATCTGAAAAAACTGAGTTGCTGCTGCTATTATACATATCTATCGTTGCTGCCATATCCAAAAACTAAGTTACAATCTGGTCCTTAACCAAAACTAACAGAACAGGCAATAGTTTGATTAAAAAAAACCTTGAGGGAACAAAAACAAACCCTCTTAGCAGATGAAAATAAAGCGTGAAACTTTGTAATTGATTTTAAAAACAGAAACCTTGATCTCTATTCTGGAACATCTGGCTTTCAAAAAAACCAACCTCGACTGGTCTTTGTTTAAAAAAGCTTGAAAGACAGACGATAACAGAGAGGGATTCAGAGAAGCGGGGGATTACAGAAAAATTGGGGGGGGGTATTTCGAAGAAAACTGGAATGATCAAACACTGTTGAAAAAACTGGAAATTCTCTCAATCTCTTTTTGGTGGTCTCACTTTGGTGTTTGCTCTCTTGCATTTGGAGGCTCGTCTTCTCTCTTCTTATATAAAACTCTGGACTTTACCCCTCCATGTGCTCTCTCTCTCACAACCCATAGATTTTTCTCTTTTTAAATTAATTAATTATTAATCATTACTTAATCACTGAATCAATATTGATTTAATTTATCACCATCTTTCTCGTCAACTTCGAAGATGCCATTATTCGATGGGATGAGAATTTTGCCATTCATTTTGGGCTTTTTTACTAATTATTTGTGTAACTTTTTTTTTCATGGTTTTCAGGATCGGACCGGTCAGCGAATCGATCGTACTATTAGTTTACTAGTTTAATCGATCGAACCGATTAGATCGATCAAAAGAACCGAACGACGTCATAATTAATTAATTATTTAAAAAATTAAATAAAAATATAAAAAAACATTTAATAAAAAATAGTTTTTTATATAACAAGTCATATTCAAAGTAAATTATAACATATATAAATTAAAAATCATAAAATCAAGTGAAATAAAATGATTCAAATTAACTACAACATAATATTTAAGGTAAAACATATTAAATAATAAATATAATTATATAACTATAATAAAAAAAATAAATTTGGGGCTAAAAAATCATAACAAACTATGTCGTTTGGTTTAATTTAAAAAAAAACCCACATGACTAAGAAACATAGAAAAACATCACAAAAGTCTAAAGAGTAAAATGGCTAAGAAACATAGAAGAACATCCTAACTGACTTCTATAAATAATAGAGGTAATTTGACATTCAAAATCATGGAGCCATTTGGTGAGCACAGAGTGAAATATTCTTTTGCTTCAATCGAGTTTCTAAATTTTTTTTGAGTTCGAGCCATTTTGAGTTCAAGTTTCAATATTATATTTCAAGTTCGAGTTGAACTTGATAATTTTTAGCTCGTGAGTTTTTGAGTCGAGTTGAGCTTACTTTTAAAGTTTTCGAGTTCTACTTGGCTCATTTCACAAACGACGTCGTTTGATTTAATTTTTTTTTAAACATAACCGGTTTTCAACCGGTTTACGGTCCGGTCCGGTTCAATGGTTCACAGTCGGTTCAACGGTTTCTTCCGGTTCACTAGTAGCGGTTTAACCGGTGTAGAATGAATCGGACCAGGCAGCGGTTCCCGGTTGAACCGGTCGGTCCGGTCCGATTTTCAAAACACTGTTTTTTTCTAAATTTTATCAATCTATCATCCTTTCTGACAAGACGCGAATCGTCATCTTCACTCGAGGGATTTCGTCCGAGCTGGCACCACGTCAGACCATTTGCACCTTATTCGAGTTGGCATCACATAAGGACAGGCGCATATTATCATCCGTGCCTTCGCAAATCACCTCTGACATACTTTGACAAGGTGTAAATCGTAATCCGCGTCTTACCATTTTAAAAAATATATATATACTTTAAAAAATTAAAAAAATAAAACTATAAGGACTAAGATCATAATTTAATACATATAAGTTTCTTTACAATGTCAGATAAAAGCTAAAAGATGTATTTATTGACAATATGTTTAGGTTATGTTTTCATGATTTGTCTTCCATCGTTTTCATTACATTTTTATTTTAATTATATACATATAAATGCAATAATAAATTGATAAATTATTATTTGTTTAATTTTTACGTTACCTTACATCAATCTAAAAAATAAAAGTGAAAAAATAATTTTTATTTCTTAACAATGATATATTCCCACATAAATCTAGAGTGGCATCCTATGGTCCTAAAAATATGAACCACCTAACCAATTTTTCTACTATTTCAACATTAAAAAAAACAATAAAATTTGTGCCACAAGTCAGTCCCAAAAGGAAAATAAGAAAGAAGAAAGAAGAATTTCCCTTTAATTTTCAGTATTGGAAGCTTGAATTTATGAAGTGGGAAAACAAAGCTTTTTACCAGAAAAAGAAACTGCGTTTTCCTTTGTCTCTAACTTTCCCACAATCTCTGAACTTACTAAAGAAGCTTTAAAAGGTAAAAAAAGAACACAAAGTACAACATGAAACAAACTTAACAACAATGAACTAAAAAAATCAACGTTCAGAGTAAGCTTCCCTTTAATTTCCTGTATTGGAAGCTTCAATTTCAATTATTTTTTCACTTTTTATTTTTTGGGTTTATTTAAGGTAACTTAAAAATTGAAAAAATAATAATTTATCAACTTCTTTTTATATTTATATGTATATAAAAATTGAAGGTAACTCATGAAAACATAATCTAAACACATAGTCAAGAAATACATATTTTAGATTTTATCCCGTATTGTCTAAAACATAACATAAACACTCTAATATGCCTATATAAACTAACCCCATTAAATTTTTTAACTCATGAAACTAATATGTATTAAATTATAAGGTTAATCCTTATAATTTTTTTTAAGCATAAATTTTTAAAATGCTAAGGTGTGATGATGGTTCGCGCCTGTCCCTATATAGTGCCAACTTAGATAAAACGCGGATAAAGATTCACACATCATCAGAAAAGATATTAGATCGATAAAATTTGAAGAAATGAGCCTAACAGGTAATTATTACTTGTCATATGATATTTCGGTAAAAAAAAAAGCTTTAATTTTGACCGCCAGGTTTTGGTATGAAAAAGTATGTACTTACACGTGTTAAATTTTGATTGGGTAAAGGAATTGTTGGCAGTGATTGAGGTGAGTAGTGGACTTTTTTGCTCATTACCTTTTGGAATTTAATTATAATTTTTTGTCTTATCACTTGGTTTTGCGGCATGGCCTGCCCCTACCACTTCGCCACAAATAATCAATAAATAAGTTTCCATTATTATCTCGAGTTATAAAATAAATAGATGAAAGGGAATAATAATTAACCCCCAAATTCACGTCCGTGATGATTAGTTATATTCGAGGTAAATTTTGTATTTAATATCTAAACTATTAATTTAATTTTAGTTTAGTATCTAAACTATTAATTTTAGTTTAGTTTAGTATCTAAGTTTTTAATTTTTTTGAAAATCATGTCTAACGTTTAGATTTTGTTTCATTTTATTACATGTTAAAAACTTAACGTTAAATTTTGAATAAAATTGAAAGTTTAGGTACTAAAAAAATTAAAACTAATAGTTTAGGTATTAAAATAGATCAAAACTGATAATTTATGTACTAAACGTATTAAATTTTTAAAATCCAATTCACTTTTTTTTTGGCGGTTTTAGGTTGATTGATCAAGCCTAATAGTGACTCTCATTTTCTCTCATTTTTTCTTACTTCAATTACAAGAATCTTAAAAGCAAAAAATCCTAGTTTCTTTTCATTAATGCTAGATACACGAATTAGAAGAAAATAAATATTAAAATAATAAAAAATCCTAAAATACCCTGAATAAATAATAGAAAACATAAAGCTAAATTTAATTAAAAGTAATCAATAAAATAATTGAATTTTTTATAATAAATTAAATTTCTAGTATTGGACTCATTTTCAATTTTATGCATGCACTATCTATGGTAAAATAAGCATATCTTGAATTCTCGATTTCCGATTGAAGTGTTTCAAAATACGTTATAAAGCTAACTGAAAGCCGACTCTATCTAAAGAAGACATCATGCCTTGAAAATCTTAATTCACTTAAAATTTTGTTTCAAATTGTCTGACATTCCATAATTCAAAAATTAACTTCAATAAAAATGTTTGGGCCTTAAAAAATATAGATCAGACACAAATCAGATATTACACTATTATAACAATGATATTAATCAATATACAAATACATTACATATAAATTTATCTTGGGCATCTTGTGATCTGACATAATTATTTCAGGTTTTAAAATTAGAAATATGGTACTAATGTTTTAAGTTTTTGTTTTTTCCACTGAAGTTTTAAAAGTAATAAATTGGTCACTAACATCATCGATTTATAACAAATTAGTCACTCGACTGCTAACATTCGTTACTGGAGTAACGAAATGCTGATGTGGCATGTTAGTTTGACTTTTTGACAATATTTAGCCACGTGTGATCTTTTTTTACTAGCCCTCAGCTCTTCTTCTCCTTTATCTTCTTATTCTCCTTTATCTTCTTCTTCTTCGACACCGAACTTAAGTCAAAGTTGTTTTTTTCTTGATGCATTAATTAAGAAAAGGAAGTTCTAAAAAATCTGAGTGTTGGTGCAATGCACAGGAATAGGAAGATACATGATATGATTTTTCGTTTTTCCTGTTTGAGATATTAATGATATAGTTGAATGGTAAAGAATTACAAAAGTAAATTTTCAGCCCTTATATGACAAGAATCAACGAATAAAAGCTTTGAAAAGTGTATCGTCTTCCAACCATTAGGATCTGAGCATGACATGATCTTGATATTAACCCCAAGGTCCAAGTTCCCGGATAACTTTTTCGTCAAAAAATTTAACGGTCTCTGTAGTTTTGTAAACATCATGTGTCAATTGCAATCCTCGAAGATGCAGCAGGACACATACAATTCCCCTTTGCAAACAAAAAGATCAGAAATTTTTTTTCTACATTAAAAAGAAAAGAAAACAGAAACATGTCTACTTGAGCATAGCCAATTTTCTTCTCATAATCAGTGGCTCCATAGTTGTACGTCAACCCAAGCACACCATTGTTATCTTCAGGTTCATAGCCCATCATGGCTATTTTGTAATAAAAATAAAAATAAGCACATGTTAGTGTGCATATATCTAAATCACTAAAAAATTCTTAAGTAAGCTAATCCCTCAATTAGATTATTATAGTTCTACATCAAGAAAATAGTATTTACCTTGTACCCTGTATTATTTTGTGTGCGAAGAGGCTTCATACCATAGGCCTGCAAGAAATGGAGATAGAAACTAAGACCTACAGTATGATATAAAACATAGCACCTAACCCCACCTCTGTAACACCCTAAACCCGATTAAGCCTAAAGTGCCACATTGGGCTACCGAGGCAACCCCTGATTTTCAAAACCTATTCATTTTCTTTTTAAATATACTGAATAGTATCATCATTAAAACATAAATAACCTTTATAGAAACATTTATAAATCGGAGCTCCATGACACATAATTTAAAATCAAAATAATACAAACTATGAGTTTAACAACTGAATGCATGAACTTCATATGTCCACAAAGCTATAATACAATACTCTGTCGAGGTGCTATAAGTCCTACTACGAAGATGCTCCATGAACTTCCCAAGCTATTTACATGAAAATGAAACATCCGAAGGCTGAGCTTACAAAGCCCAGCAGTATAATCGCTAATCTAGAGTAGCATAAGAATTTCATAAATATAGACATGCTGAAGACATGATGCTAAGCAGTAGGTACATGCATGATCTAGATCAAGTGCTACCTACTTAAGGATTTTATTTTTCTATCATTAAATTAGGAGTCCCACGCTTCCCTTAGTCCTCTACTAAGGGCCTCACCATAAGTACAACACATTATCTAAATACGACTCTAATACTCTTGTGCATTATCTGAATGCAAACTTGATTGTAATGTGTATTATCTGAATGCAATACCGACTCTGCTATGCTAGTATCTACTATCACATAGCATCAAATACTAATCTATTGAAAGAGAGTGATGGTATCACATAGCATCTGTAAAGTCCCCTCTAAGCTGCTGAATGATCTCCTGGTATCACATAGCATCGGGTAGTCCATGGAGGGAGAAGCCTGGTATCACATAGCATCAGATATTCCCACTCAACTAAAACATTGTC